GTTAATCGATTGCAAGTTACAAGAGTTTGATTGATTTATACGCAGATGTAAAGGCTTCTTCAAGAGGACCGTGCAAAATAGACGGGTGTACACGTGCGTGGCGGAGGGAGGCTGCGAGATTACGAAGGCGCAGAGGAACAGGTGTCAGTACTGCCGGTTCAAGAAGTGCATCGAACAGGGTATGGTCCTGCAGGCGGTTCGGGAAGACCGGATGCCTGGAGGGAGGAATTCTGGTGCAGTGTACAACCTTTACAAGGTATTCATCGAACTAAAATTTCAACATTAAAATTATTATTATTAATTTATACTATAATTTACGTTATAATTTATGCGATAAACTGCTAGACTGATATCGCTCGAATATATTTGCGCGAGTCAAGTTGAAGAAGAGCCAAATTAATTGACTGATCAAATCAACTGTAATTGATTGTTGAAAGAGATCGCTTGTTGATCGGCCGCAGGTGAAGTACAAGAAACACAAGAAGAGCAACAAGGCGGGCGGTGTCGGCGGCGGCATGGGTGGCGGCGGTAACGTCGGTGGTGTGAACGGCTCGGGAACCCTCGGGGGTACCAAGGGTGCTATGGGCACGACGATGCTGGACAAGCACATGGCCGCGGCTGCAGCTGCCCATCATAGCCAGCAGCAGCAGCAGCACGCCCAACTGGCCGGTAGTTTCCTCCATCATCACAAACTCTCGTCGGGCGATCCACTCAACTCGCCGCCCACCCCCAGCCACCCAAACCACCCCGCGCATTCAGGTCATCTCGTCAACGGGACTATCCTGAAGACGGCGCTCACCAATCCCTCCGAAGTGAGTGTATTTTCTTTGTCTTAAGTAAATGAATTTTTAATGTCGTCTCTTGAAGTGGTATCGCATTTTTAATCATTCAATAGCAAGAGAAGAATTAAGTTACACAAATATGTCAAATGTGCACTCGATCTTTCTTTTATGAAAATGTTAAAAAATATTTTTAACACTTAACATTAAATGTATTCGATGTTATTATGAAATTCAAAGTTTTAAAAAAATCCATTTGGTTTTTAAATATAAAGACTTTTTAAAATTTTTTTAATCGTGTTTATATTCTGTTAAAGATTATATTTTGTTAATATTTTGTGAAAGATCGCTTATTCCTAATCACTTGCCTCAATTAAGAATCAATAGACTTAAGATTGAGCGAAATCTATAAATAGACTCTATCATCACAACTAAAGTCACGAATGTCCGTATAGTTCTTCATATAGGTTTGAAAAAACGTTATACTCTCCATAATATATCTGAATAAAAATTCGTTCGGCTAATGCATTCACTTCGAACGATTTATCGCTAACTATCATCGAGGTTGAATCGTGCGAACCCTGCACCTCCCCGACGCGAGAGATTTCGTCAAAGTAGATAGCGCGATTTATCCCGCCTACTTCCGCGTGTCTCGCGAAATGGAATCGTCAGAGAAGTAGTCTCATTACGACAGAGTGCGTCGCCGCGCGCCCGTTACAGCTTTTACTCATTTCACCCTTAATTATTCGAGCGTTACGCAAGGCAAATGTCGTCAGCGACGTAATGTAGATTAATCTCGGCTGCGAGATTTATGTATATTACTCGGCGGTGATGTGCGTGAGATATCCGCGGAAACTTTCTAAAAGTCCGTCCGATCGAATCGCGCGATTATGCCATGCGATCTGAAAGTTCGCCGTTAATCCGTATGAGAGTCACGAGGATTTTACATTGTTTATTCTTGCTCTCGCGCGATCGACGAGATCGCATACAGATACAGATCAGATCAACGTTCGCGTGCGTCTTCGATCGAACGATCGCGGTTTGCTTGCAATTTACGTGATTTATACCGACGCTCCGGTTAGAAATCGAGTGTGGGTCAACAAAAGTTGACTCCTCGGCCGCCGACAGGGGAATCCGATGCTCTGGGATGAGAATGTCCCGCAGGCATCTTCGCTTTCACTTTCGAAGCAGCTGCGGCGGCGGCGACGCAAGATCGCAAAATCTTCGCGGACGACGATTCTTCGTTCCGGCGATCCAATAACGTGTTACATCTCCTGCACGCTCATTTATATTTTTGGATCGATTTATTTTTTATTAGTTAGAGAAAGTCTTTTATGCATACCATATCTCTTTCATAATTTCTTAATTTAGCATTAAATATGACCATGCTAAATTAATATCTTAGTAACGTCCACTTGGACTCAAGTTACTAATAAATTTCTTTACTTATTGGTAGTGTTAATTTGTGCATATTTTTAGATTGTTCTATTAGCTATAAATTAAGTATATATAAAACAAGTGTGTTATGTGTGTACGTGTTTGATCGATACTTGCGATCTGCATTCAATATATCAATATCCTTATCTGGAAAAATAGAGATCGAACCGCTTCGATAAATTTAAAATTGCATCATTCATATCTACAAATCTATGATAACGAGGAACCTGTTACGCTTGCAAAGGAATCTTGGATCAATCATCGCGAAACATAATACACTTTGTTGTTGACGTACACTTTCAAAAACAAAGTAATGCTAGATTGTATGCGATACTTGCTAATTAAACAACCGTACTGGCCATATCGCTACCCTTCAGTAACGAACTATAAAGTAAGCAATTAACGTCATAGAGATATTATTTATAAATCAAAACGGTAACTTCCTTAAGAAAGAAAACAAGATTTAATGTAGCTGAGAGGAAATTTCAAGAAATCAAACGTCTCTCTTTAGAATTATATTATTAATTTAGAATTATAGCTATAATATCTGATTTTTTTAAATTTAATTGATCTCTGAGAAAATAAATTCAATGTTCACGTATTAGTCATTACTTTTACTTTGTATCAAAAAATACAAATTATTTTGATGCGAGTCGTCGAGTAAAGTGGAACTACACGCGGAGGCAAATAGCAAATTCGGCGTGCGTCGATCGGTTTTCTTCGTACCGATCCTGGAATGAATAAACTCCTCATCGCAATTTCACTTTCTTACGACTCGGCTTGCGCAAGCCTCAAGGTTTCCCACATTACGAAAGCCGATAGGGACGATAGATAGAACGAGCATATTCGCAAGAATCGACCGATCGTCGTCGCACTTTTTGTTTTCATCTATACGCTTCTTGTATAATACGAGATATTTATATAACTTGCAAAATTATATGTCTTTACAAAGCATTGTTTTCCGAGATGCTATGTAATTTTGTACAAACGACATAAGCAAATTTTTCATGATGACCACTCGGTTAAGAATGTTATGTAATAAAAAATTATTTGCTGAAATCATTTTATAATGCCGTTTATGTATAAATTAGAAAAGTATATATACGAGTATTGTTTGGACATGCGGCATGAGGCGCGCAGGCGTGGCACGCTCGGCAGTCAAGCTCTATGCACAATGAAAACCACAGGCAACAGGAACAGGTAACAGGAATAGAATTTCCGACGCGTTGGATTTCTATTCTCTATTGCCTGTACCTGACCAATCACAATTAAGGCCCTTGCACAATGCCAGGCAACAAGCAATAGGAACAGAATTTATCCGACGCGTTGGATTTCTATTCTCTATTACTTGTACCTGACCAATCACTAAAATCTCGGACACAATGAGAGAAATGAGGAACAAGGAATTAAACATAAAGAGAATGCCGTGTCTTGAAAAAAGAGAGAAGCTGTGTCTTGAAAAAAGATGCGACTACTATGTTTAATTCCTTGTTCCTTATGCCTCTCATTGTGTTTGAGCCCTAAAAACGCCATATAAAATCAAATTACTGTGATTGCCTGTTCCTGTTGCCTGTGGTTTTCATTGTGCATAGGGCTTCAGTCGTGTCGTGTCTTGTGTCTACACATGGCTAGAACTCGGGCGTAATCTCGGTTATCATTATATCGCATATCAGTCGCATATCAGTAAGAATAAAGTGCGTCTTTATAGTTACGGGCTCGTGTCATAATTGTCACCCAAGTATCCAACAGCTACGGTTTTTTAATCTTTCCATTCTCGACGTGCGCAACGTAGTACAAGAAAATCCATCGACAATCATGGCGACGTCCCAGATTAAAGCTCTCATGGCCACGATCAACAGTTTACTTCAGCTTAAAGTGCAGGAACTGCGAGAACGCTCTCAGGACGTAAATCCGAACCCAACAACTACGTCAACCGATGTGTACATCCAACTAAGTACTCGCATTGAAAAATATGTCTTTGCTTCCGGAGACGAAACGAGACCTTTTTCGAAATGGCTATTGCGCAATGAATATACTCTCGTCACAGAGACTCTCCCCGCAGAAATGCGCACTCGTTTACTTCTGGACAAACTAGGTCAAATAGAATTTGACAGACTGGATCACGTCACACTAGCGGACTCCACCAAAATGAAACAGGCAGAGCTTATCGCCATTTCGAGAATCTTTTTCACGACAAGACATCTCTTACGCGTCGTCGCATCGAAATCTTAAACTACAGATATAATAAAACAGTTCCGATCGCTGAACATATCGATTGAATAAATCGCTTCGCGATCAGATTTTGAGCTAACTAAACTCACATACGATAATCTCAGAGTTTTACTATTTCTCCAATCACTCTGTTTCTCCCGTGAAGACGATGATCTGAAGAAGATGGTTTTACGCGAAGTCGAGAAGAATGAAGATGCTACCTTTAGAAACATCGCCACCGAACTTGAGACTTACATAAACTTATCCACGAATATGAAAACGCTTGAAGATTCAACTAACACTTCTGCTTCGATTACACATTCAGTAGTCTCTCTTCTCAGGATCGACATGTGTCCCAACAAATATAATTTTAAAAATAAATTCACTTTTAATAAAATTAATTATTTTCATGTTGTATATATTAAAAATGCGATCCGACTTTCTCAAGGGAGGGTCAACGGGAGTAATGGAAAAATATGCGTGTTACGTCCGATCAGATGAGCAAACGAGGGAACTGCCGCGACCGTTCAAATAACCCGGTAGAGGCCATTGCCAAAAGTGAAACCGATGCCGCTAAAACCGGATAAATATTGACTGCGGCTGTGCTCCATTAAAGAGGTCACTTTCGAGCCGCGGCCGAGTCATCGTACGTGAGATGCGCAGCGAAACCACATGTTCAAAGTGAATTTCATATAAGATAAGAAAAAGCCGCAAAGTCGACGGAATCATTTTCTTGAAGAAAAGGAATATTCAGCGTATTTAGTCGCGAAAGTAACGTAAATAAATTACTTGATCGTTTGCTTAATTCCAATTGAGTCGTGAAGATTGACGTTTATCTTCATCAGAAGACACTCTGCTATATAAACTCTTTTTGAAAGTGATTTTACTTAAATTCATATCTATGAATATTCTATAAATATATGCTTTTAAAGAGAATTACTCATTTTAATACTTAATATGTATTTAATTTTAATAAATATCTTAGATATCTAGGACAGAATATAAGCGGTATTATAAGATATAACTTCATAAAAATTGAAATTATAAAATATATACATGATACATTTTAATATAATCCATTAAACATAGATATGTATGTATATGCCTATATTTCTCACACACGTATTACTTTGTTACAATTTCGCTAATAATTACTAAAAAAAATCCATTAAAAACAAATAAAGTGTCACTCATGCATAATATATTCTTGCATACATTTCGCCGCATATATTATAGATTATAGTTGAGCTACAATCTATATCAATGAGCCTTACTGGTATCTACTGGATATTGAAACAGTGTCGGATATCCTTTTACCATAACGAAGTATCGTCAATTGTCGTTCGTCATCGTCGCTGCGTGGAAACGTCGTGGCGAACGACAACACACCGACGACGCAGGCAGGGACAATAGAAAATCAGCGGCAACCGGTGCCAAGGACGGGCAGTTCTCCGGCGGTTTCGTAACTCGTGAAAGTCTGCACGGGGGACAGTGACCTCACCCTCCCTCTCCCTCTCGCGCGCTTCCTCTCCTCTAACACCTCCTGTATATCTCCTCCCTTGTCTCCCCCGCGAAACTCTCCCGTCCCTTCCTCATGTCGAGCGCCTTCAACCGCAAAACGCGTCCCACGTCCCACGGTTCTCCGCGAGATAGTCGCTTATGCATGGACCTTATCCGACAAAGCGACCAGCTTTCCCCGAAGTCAGACGGAAACCAACTTGGTGGCAGTTGGTGGGCCCTTTCTTTTTCCTTTTCTCTTTCTCTTTCTCTTTCTGTCGCGCTCGCATGCCCGACCCCGAGGAAATGTTTCGAGGTCCGAAAGGTCAGTGAAAGGCTGAATCTGCTGGTTGGATGCGCGGCCACCGAACTCGGATTGCGCGCACAGCGAGAGGAAATGCCGGCGGAATCGTAATTAACGCGCGGATCTCCTCAGACTTTTCCGCATTGTGAAAAAGTTTCAAGGCCGCGTAAAGAGATTGAAGTTTGAAATCCCGGCGCGAAATAATATAACTGATAAAAATTGATCCAGACAGTATAGCAAACGATATAATATATACAACATCTGAGAGAACTACTAGCTTTAATCAGCAATTTAGATGCATAAAATGCAATTTTAAAAATGCAAATAATGCATTATCTTGACTTGAAAGAATCACGTGGATAGATTTTATGTATTAATGATGTGTGTTTAAGGTGGTGCATTTACGACAAAGGCTAGACAATGCAGTAAGCAGTTCGAGGGATCGAGTATTTCCTCTGGACGCAACCTTACACATGATTCAAACCCTTATAGACTGCGACGAGTTTCAAGATATCGCCACATTGAGGGTATGTAAATATAATATGTCTTTTTTACGGTAAAACATACATAATTGTTTAATTTCAAGGCAATAGCACATATTAATTTATAATTCTTTTTCCACAAAAGAATATATATATTTTTCGAATGTGCAATATGCAAGCTCAATTAACAAAAATGATTTAATTGGTTCAACGTTTATTTCCATAAAGAACCATAAGTACTTAATCGGTGAATAATTTATTTCTCTATAATAAACTGATCCGTTTGATTCAAATATTATTTAATTAAAAAATTTAAAAATAGTTGATTCCCACACAATCCTATCGCGCTCCAAGATTTGTATACGAACCATTGGCATTACACTTTACAGAACTTGGACGAGCTGCTGGACCATAATTCAGACTTAAGTGACAAGCTGTGTCAGATAGGAGACAGCATAGTGTACAAGTTGGTGCAGTGGACCAAAAGGTTACCGTTTTACCTTGAGCTGCCGGTCGAAGTTCACACGAGGCTGCTCACCCACAAGTGGCATGAACTTCTTGTGCTGACTACATCTGCCTATCAAGCGATGCATGGTCAGCACAGGTTGACGAATGTCGCTACTGATGGGACGGGTGCAGACTTTATGCAAGAAGTAATTACGTTTTACAATAATTTATAAACGTACACATCACGTAATACTACAGAATTTTTTTCCCTACAATGCTACCCGACATCTGTCTTTTGTAGAAGTTATAACAATAATTTTATCACCTTTTTTTAATTTCGTTATTTTTTAAAAAAGAATTGAAGGATTCTGTAAAAGAACCTATTATTTTTATTATTTTTACATGGATATTTTGTTAAATAATGCAATCTATACAATATGACGATAAAATATTCTTTAGTATCGTCATCTGCACAACAATTTTTAATTAGTAATAGTATTATTATTAATATTTATTAATATTTATTATATTATCTTTAGATATCTTTCAAATAATATATGTTGTCTAATAATATATGTTTTTAAAATTTATATATACAACGAATATGTTTATGGACCCATTCTAACAAGCAGTCTTCACAACTATAGGTAACGAACAACATGTATACGTTGCAAAGGTGCCTAACCAGCATGATGGGTCGGCCGATAACCATGGACCAATTGCGGCAAGATGTAGGGCTTATGGTGGAAAAAATCACGTATGTCACGCTAATGTTCAGGCGGGTGAGGCTACGAATGGAGGAATATGTCTGTCTAAAAGTAATCACTATGCTCTCACAAGGTAAGTTATTTTTACTGGATCTGCCGTTCCACATCTCTGTCATTATCGCGTCGAGTTCCTCAGTATTACATGATATACGAGAGATATGTAATAATATAAACTTATCTTCTTCCCCAACGCTGCAATTGGAGACACGAAATGTAAGTTCGAGATACTTTCTAAAGACGTTCGTGCACGCATGCACGTTTTCCCACGAGTAGGCTCCGTAGACTTATTTAAAAGGATTTTAATTAAACGTTTCTTTCATGGATTCTCGTCATCCAATATATAGATAAAACCCAACTTTGTTACTATTGTTAAAGGAATTAAAAAGCAAGTCAGAATACGTAGAACATTCCATCAGTTGCAATTATAAAGAATCGACACCCTCGAATTTCTGGAATGTATCAAACACACGTTTCAACTGATCTCGCTTGTCTTTCTTAGCACGAGGAAGTACTTTGGAATTAGAACAGATACAAGAACGGTACATGAGCTGTCTGCGAAGTTTTGTCGAGCACAGCGCTCCTCAGCAGCCGAGTCGATTTCATGATCTTCTTGTCAGGTTGCCCGAAGTAAGTTCAAAGAAAAAAAGTAACGATGCCGAATGCGAGAAACGTCTTCAAAGCGAATAGATTAAATTATTTATGCATGATTAATACATAACTCCAATTATTGAACATTCGATCGAATCTGAATTCAGACCAAGCGATCGAACGCGAATAAACAATTTGCTTCAATGATGTAAATTCGTATTTATTCGCTTGGTCTAGATTTGGTTTAAAAAGCATTTACTATTTTACAGTTAAAACTAGTAATTTTGATTCGAATTGTTTTCGCTGCGCGCAGAATACAACAATTATTAAATGGCTCCGTTTAAGTAGAGAATCCGTTTGCTTGTTGAATTACAGGTACAATCGGCGGCGACTTTACTACTCGAGAGTAAAATGTTCTACGTTCCTTTCCTATTGAACTCAGCAATTCAAAGATAGTAAATAAACAAAGTGACGATAAACGAAGCTGAATACCTATATACATACTATACATACGTTATAAATATATACACAGAAAAAAGTAAAAGAACCGAACAAACCGGCAAGCAACAAATGAACAGAAAAATAGAAAGAGTCCAGTGAGAGAGAAAAAGAGACGACTCAAACCGAATGGGGAAAGGCTTTGTTTGCGTATGTATAATAAATATATAAAAGTATATATATATA